TATATATACTGTATGAAGGCATTTTGAACCCTTCCCACACTCTTGTAATATGCTAAACAATGTTTCAAAACTCTAAACGCTCTAAATGAGCACAGATTATCATGAGTTCCCTCTTCTGCGCCTCTGCTGCGCTCAGCCACCTGCTCCGCTCTGCACGCAGACCAGCTGATCAGCTGCAGAAGGAAGTTTATCCTGCAGTATGGGCTGCACAAATGTGCAGCAGGTGCTAAATAATTTTCAAAAAATGTTTTAAAATAAAAATTTCATGCAGATCGTGCAGCTTATCCATCAATAAGCCAATTGTGTGTCATGTCCAATCTCATTTTGTAAAACCCCGATAGAGTGAATCTGCAATAAAAGAACTGCGAAGTAGCGAGGAACTACTGAATATATTATTACATTTTAAACCCTCCCCACACTCTTGCAATATTATAAAAAATGTTTCTAAAATAAATGCTCTAAAACAGCACAGAATGTCATGATTTCAGATCTCTGCCTCCACTGCACTCTGCCGTCTGCCGTTTTTGGCCACCCCCACTTCTCCACTACAGAGTGGAGATCAGCTGATCAGCTGCAGGAGGAAGTATCTCCTGCAGCTCTGGCTGCACAAATGTGCTATAGAGTGAGTCCACAAAAAAATTAATCACAAAGTAGTGAGGGACTACTGTATACATATATATATAAATATATATGTATATATATATATATATATATATATATATATATATATATATATATATATATATAATTGCTACTTTACAGTTCGACTTTTGCAGTTTTTCAACTATTGTCAACTTTAATATTTTCACGTGATCTGAATGGTACGGGATAAAAAGTTACAAACAACAACAACAAAAAAACTTCGGACAGGCGCTGCCATTTTGTAATTTTCTTTCAATAAGCCTATACTCTAAGACCAGTCAAAGAACTACACTACCCAGAAGCTAACAGTGCTTCCGGCCACTGCTTTCTGCCGAAAAGGAGTGAAAGTTTTGCAACACAAAGTCAGACGAATCTATCTATTACTCTCACAGAACTGGCACGAAAGTCACAAATAACCCTGAAGCTTCCTGAAGCTCATCCATGTGCACATCCACCTGGACTGGGCAGTGGGCTTCATCGATGCAGGGTAGGTCTGCAGAACTGGAACCATGTCTGGCCGGAAATGAGCTGAGGGTCTGCAGAACTGGTGAGTAAAATTTTGCAGTACTGTACAGTACATATATGTATGTTGTTAAAATTATGTAGGTTTAAGAGTTTAGAACATTATTAAGAACATTG